TTGTTGTGGTGTTGTTGTGGTGTTGTGATTGTGGTTGTGGTGGTCGTTGTCGTTGTCGCGGTCGCCGTCGTGGTCGCTGTCTGTGTCGTGGTCATGGTCTTCGTCGTGGTCGTGGTCGTTGTGGGTTGCGCGTTGTTGGTCGTTGCTTGTTGGTGGTGCTTGTGGTTGTTGTTGCTGCTTGGTATAGGTATACGTATAGGTATAGTTATAAGTGCACCCGGTCAACTGAGCTTCCCTCAAAGGCAAGAACAGCAACAGTTGAATGCATGCCAGTTAGCAGGCGGCAAGCTTGTTAACCAGAACATGCCATGCTGCCATGAATGCGGGTCTTTCACCGGTCACCGTTCGTTCAGCATGCTGCTAGCGGTCAGAGAACGAAGTCAAGAGACATCAAGAGACATGTGCCGACGAACTGTTGCGAGGCCCGCCACGTAGATGGGTGAATGAAAAGGTGCTTCAATAAGTCCTGTCTAGTTGCCCCGGAGGCTCCTTCAGACTGGAACCTTCTGTAATGCTCCTGTGTGAAGTAGCAATCACCCAACATGCGGAGCACTGTTGTTGTTGTTGTTGCTGCTGTTGTTAATGTTCTTGTTGTTGTCAGTGTTGTCGGTGTTGTGGGTGCTGTTGTTGCTTCATAGGCGCGCCGAAGCAAGCCAAGACACTGAACGTTAAGCCTGCAGCCCCCAAACCCCGCCAATCCGTCAAACCTTGCCCCAAAGCCCTCTTATTCGTTCACCACTGCCTTCACTTCTTTAACCCTCAAGATCAACCATGGAACCCCGAAAACTTGCGTAGTGGCAACTGCCTGCAGGGAGGTCCTTGCCAACAGGAAGCTGCTTCATGAGCGCCAGGAAGTACTCGATCTCCACCTTGGATTGTTTCCGGCTTAGAACTAGAAGAGTCCAACATACATATGTTAGCTTGGAGGTATGCTGTGCAGAGGCTCATTGAGGCTTGAAAGTACGTGCTGATCCTGTCGCTGCAGGTGTTGTACGCGGCCCCCCAACCCATCATAAATCATCACCAGCACAGAAAATGCGTTGTTTAAGGGAGGGCTTGTTGCAAAACTCAGTTAGTAAGCCGATTGAATTCCAAGTAGAATCGCGCTCATCTTTTCTGAAAGGACTCCAAGCGTTCACCAATTCCAGTTAATTTCCCCTTGGATTTGTCTATGAGGAATTTCCCATTCTATTTCTGCTGCAGTATGCTACAAGCTGGTAAACAATGAAACTTCTTCATCCTTCAGACTCGTTTATGCATTTCCGCTTGTGTAAATTCAATTTCCTTGTATTTTCTGTTGTATAAGCTCATACTTGGAAAGCTGATTCAACAAAGGAGCCTTGGAACCAATCCTTCAGAAGCCTCGTGCAAATCAGTACCAACATCTCTTATTGGGCCTCGGTTTGACAGTACTTTGCTCCGTCTAAGAATAGCCTTTCGGGACTTGAGGCCTCCAGCTTCATGTTCATCTTGAAGCGGGTTTGTTCGTAGGAGGGGACCCCTGATTTCTATTCCATATCAACAACATCATTGGGCCATTTTGGATTGCTCGGGGCTTAGGGTAAAATCCCTCATCTCGGAGGGCAGCAGTGGCTGCAGGCAACCTTTCCGGGCCCATGTCTGTTTGGAGGTCTGTATAGAGGCTGTCAGTAAAGCCTGTCAAGAGTCTGGACTCCGCATGCCGTTGCTGCACAGCCACTCGGGCAAGGGTTGCATAGAGCTGGTCTTCGGACTCTCTAGCTGTAATAGTTTGGAATTTATAGAGGTTGGGCTAACTTTCGCCCAAATAGAGTAACCTGTTCTAAGTACCAGACAAGGATAGCTTGAGGGCTACGCGGCTAAGCTTAGGCTTAGGACATGCCCACAGCAAAGTCTTCAGCAGGATATCGCTACATCAGATCCAACACCTGCAGGGTACAACATGAGTACACCTCGCGAGCAGTGATGCCCATCTGCTTTGAGAATGAGACCTGGTACCCTGCACCCGACTTCCTGCAGCAAAAAGCTAGCACCCAAAGCCCCAAGCCCTGAAACCCAAAAGCTTGAAGCCGAAACCCTGCACCCTACAACCTCAAGCGCCAAGCCAAAGAATGTCAAAGAACCCTTCAATCTGAAAAGCTGCAGCAGGCTGCAGCCTGGAGGCGTGCACGCGATATCTGATCAGCCCAAACTCGGAGACGTACTCGGCCAAACCTTTGGTATTCTTCCTGCAGGCTTAGCGGGTGCTAGTTTTAGATTTCGCGACTTAGCAGTGCGGCGTTCAGAGCCAGTGGCATGCGCAGGGCGGCTGAGACAAGACTTCGTCAGGGTTACAAGAAATGCTATCTTGAAGTTATCCCGGGCTTGTCATGGGCTGACTTCTCCAAACCCTCAAACCCCAAACCCTCGACACCTAAACCCTCAAACAGTGAAAGTAGTGCTTGCATCCTGCAAGCTGCAAATGCAGGGTCAGCTCCAAATTCCTATGCCCTTAAACCTCCAAACAAGCCGTAGGCTCCACGAACTACCACAAGCCTGAAAACCCTAAACTCCAAACCCCTGAGACTCTACAAGTCGGAGAAATAACAGCTGCTAAGCGCTAAACCGATCGCAGAAACCGAGCTAAACAAAACCCCATAATATCGGCCACCATCAATCAAGAAAACCCTCTAGCCCCACAACAAATCCTGTAGCGGCCGTCGACTGGCGCCACAGCTGTGAGCTCCACAAGGTCTAGATCCTCGGAGCCCAAACGCGCCATCTACGGCCTGAAGTTTAGAATGCCTTTCCGAATATGATTTCAAGCAAGGTTCGTTCATGGCAAAGACGAAATCCGCAATCCAGAATAAAACTGGCTTCTGAGTTAAGGGATCAAGTAGTCAGGAACTTAGGACACAGCGGACTTACTCTAGATTGAGGTCCAAGCCTGGCAAGGACCTGATTATCTCGTACCTTTTTCAGAATGTAATGGAGATGAGACAATCTTAGGGACTATACTAAACTACAAGATGGACCCGTGTCTACGTCCACTGTTAAGGGTCCCTTGGTAAGGCCACTATTTGCAGTAGCTCATATAGAATCCTCTAGTTGTTTGGGAGGCGGCGAGGGGGGCTTCACAATCAGAACCCCGCGTTACTGCCCTGAACATGCAGTTCGCCAGCATTTAGAACAGTTCTGTGCCTCAGGGCAAGCCCTATACATCTTGAGAGCTGAGGCCCTGACTCCCAGCGCTGGGAGTTGCTGCCCGAACCTGAAAAGGACCCCCAAGAGGCCCAGAGCCATTGCTGAGGACTCAGGGTGTAGGATTGAAGGTTTCGGCAAAGGACTGGCCTACCCTTCGACACCAGCTAAAATGCATGAAGCCCGCTGCAAACACTGAACCCCAAGACCTTAGACGTTAAAGCTATACCTGGGGTACTTGTAGCCCACATGTTGTGTCTCTCAGCCGGCCTCTTGGTTGCTCACATGGGGCTTAGATTTTAAGATTGAAGGTCTCGGGTGGGCGTTGGGCTGAATCAGCTTAATATTGGGCGCTTAGGCTGTAGGATCCAACCATGAACTGTGGTGGCCTCTAGACCTTAAACCCAGCCATATACAGGATCTTGGGCTTCCTCATTCTGGGAAAGAAAGATTAGGCTTCAGGGCGGAAGTACCACTTCGGATTGCATACCCAGCAGCTTATGGAGTTCTTTTTGAGGCATTTGCATCTGTCCAGGTAGGGCTGGTTGAGTTCTGAATCTTTCATCTGGAACGATCTTGCATTGACGTTTGCTGGAGAGAACCTGAAGCACGGACCCTGCTGTCAAAGAAGGCAGACTCTCCATAGAGCCTTTTGGGGGGAGGTCCAGGATCGTGTCAAGGAGAGCAACGTTTTTGCTTCAAGCCCCTTGTGCTGCTTTCCGATATAAATCACATATGCGAAGCCCTAGGCCAAACGCTCTGCTGATGCCCTGAAACTTGCCAAAATGTACATGTAAAACTGTATCTACAATGCTAGCTGCAAAAAAGCCAACAGGACATTGTCGCAAAGCTTCAAGCCTTTTTTTGTGAAAGAAGCCTATGATGCGGTCGTATGATGAGAAAAACGCAAGAACTGAAGCTCAAATCACGAGGCTCTAAAGAACAAAGCCAGAGATCCCAGAACTTTAGCCAATGAACCTCAAAGTTTCCAAACCTACAGCTAGCCTGATGTAGGTGCCTATTTGAACTTTTTAATTCCAGAATTCGCATAATGTTCATCACTACTGTAACAGTAAGGCGAAACCTCGGCAAACCCCAAACTGAGCGGAATCTGCCTTTCCACGTGTAAGGAACCTGAGTGTAACTTATGGTATATTACTCTACTTTAGCCTAGGGCAGATGCCAAGCCCTGTGACTGCTTGAGCAAACATAATGTTGGACCCTCTTTAGCATAGGGGGCCGCAATAACATTTTTTTCGGGGAAATGATTCAGGATCTGGTATTGTTGGAGGGGTCCGGAATACTAAAATTCTCTGGGGCCAATTAAAAAATAGCAAAAAAAATGACTAAGTTAGTTTAGTTTTGCCTCAGACAAGCTCAGCAGAAACAGCTTGCAGGCTCTGTCTGAGTCAGCTTTTTCTCTTAGACACTCAGCATTCGAACAAGGCTCAAAAGCTTCCCTGAAGGTTACTTAGATTACTTATATAGCTTAGGGGTTCAAGGTTCAGGGTTTAGGGGTTCAGGGTTTAGG